TATCAGACTACTGTTTTATTAAAATTTAAAAAAATATTTTTGCTGTGTGTTTTGTTGTCGTTCAATAAGTTTTATTTATATACTTCACATAACGATTTTTTCTTTCGTAATTAATATATGATTTATTTACCGCTGTATCTATTAATTTTATTCATACTTAAATATAATATTCATATAATTATTACTTCAAAACTTTGGTTTGAAAAGGTATTACTTTTTTTGAGCAAAATATTTCAATATTTAATACTTTTGTATAACTATTACAAGTCTTTAATTTATTTAAAAAGTCCATTTGAATATTTGAGCCATTATTCGTTTTCAACTGTGTTTACTCTCCACTGATTTCATATAATTTAACAAACGTTTAGCTTAAATGACCTCTGTTGTCTTTGGCATTTTAAATAATGACACATTCTATGGATTATTTATTCCGCATATAATCTACTCGCGTTAATTGCTCACTCTAGTACACACAATGACTATCGAATCGTTTTTCTCCGTCGTCATATATTTCTAATGATATTTACATAAACGCAATATCGGTACCCGAAGATCAACAAAATCAGTTGCTGAGTAACTCTGTAAAGAGAGAGGAAGATCTATGTAAATCAGCTGGAGCTTTCAACTCCCATAAATTTAAGATCGGATTCAAAAAATCATTGATTACTATGATAATAATTACGCTACCTTAAGAAATCAACAACAAGCTTAAATTTTTCTTGTGATTTTACATTTTTCTTTGAATATGCCTCATTATGCATGTACTTTTAAATATTTATCAGACTTTATCGAATGTTTTTTCAATTTTTGGGTTCGATTTTTTTTTAAGTGCATTCAATAAAAGAGAGTTTGATAAAGTCAACCACTTTTTTATCAATAATTTGAGTAAAAATGATTTTGGAAGAACTATGGCTATGCTATACAGTCGACAACAAAACATCGTTAATTTAACCATTACAATGATTGTAAGAAATAAAAGTTGAGTACAATAAGAAATTTAGTTACCATTCATGAATAAAATAAAATTTTATTCGTTCAACAGGAATCTTGAAGATTAAAAATGTCGACACTTTGATTTATACTGAAAATTTAATGTTTATACCTTTGAGTAAAATACAATCAGACGTTGAGAATTTTAATGTACAATACAGTTATTTAGCCGATTTTTATTGGTCATTGTTATTGGGAAAGTTAAGAAATAAAAAAACGCTAGCTACTGTTATATCTTGCCACCTATTTTGATTACGTTCTTACATCGCATTGTATTGAATTGTATTTTATTTCTCACAAGCAAAAGCTTTTAACCGAAAAATGTCATAATTAACCGGCAAAATTTAAAAAACGGTTTTATAAGTCTTCAATATTTTTATAATCACTTGACTATAAAACTTTATTTATTCTAATGTTTAATTTCATCTAAAATCCTAAAAAAATTTTTTCTCGTTATTTATAAAAATAAACATACTTACCTGATAGATTTACAGAAACAAAACCACCTTACTATATTTCGGACATGACAAATTCAAACCATAAAGTTTTCTACAAACACTCATTTCTTACCAGCGTACAGAGAAAATTTAAATAGAACCAAAAATATGAATTTCGCATCTAGCCTTAAACCACACACGTACTGCAGTAACAATAAATATCACACCAATGAACTGATGCCAGAACTTGCGAGGAACAAACACTCACCAATTGTTTCTAATCCTTCCTCTTGCGGTAAAGTCTTAAAAGATAAAAAAAAAAAAAAAAAGGTGAGAGAAAGAGGAAAAGCACTCCTCCTTCCTCCAGAACTCCCGAAGCGACTCTGTAGTGTCAAGTGACGACAACGATGAGCTACTTCTATCCCGAGAGCAACGGGAAGGTGCGCGCGTACACGTTCAATCGCGCGCCGAAAGTGAAAGCTCTCGATTTCGTTGCGCGCATTTGAGGACGAGACCAACCGCACGTTCGATCCCTTCCCTGACTCCTCCACGTATACACCTTTTGTTTTCGACTCGAACAGCGGGTGTTATTAATAATATATATCTTACTGCACGTACTCTATGAACTGCATTAAGCTCTCTCAAACGCACGGTTTATACGATTTTTATAGCTTGATTCTTCGAAGAGGGAGGGTTGCATTGTGTGCGTGTTTGTCGAGCCCTCTTTTTCTAAGGTATTCTCGAAATTATTGGATTTTTTTTGCTTCGTTTGGCAAACGACTGATGTATATTCAGAAGTAGATGTATTTATTTATTTTTTTTTTTTTTAATTGAATTGATTGCGAGAAGGATAAAAGTGCAATCGAACACGAGTGCGGTGATTTAGAAGAGTAGACAGAGGAAATGTATAATTGATTGCGGTTAAGGCAGGAGAAAAAGTACACTCCTTGATATTGGATGTAGTGAGCCTTGTAGCCTCGATGCGATTAAACGGATGAACGGTGGATTTCTCTTTTATTTACTTCCAAACACAAGCCTTCTAATGTATGATACGAGGCTGAGATTTTGTGAGCGGGTAATGAACCTTGAAGTTAGTTGTTACTTGGTGACCTCCATTCATATTTCGTATTTGTTGGGGATTCGTACAACAGGTCAATCGTTTTATTTGGTTGTTATTAGAGGGAAAAATAAATATCAAGTCAATATTCGAGCGTTGGAAAAGATGTTTTCCTCTACAAGATGTAATGGATGTAACTGACAAACAATGAATTCAATTTAATTGATAATTTTTACTGTAAAATTCTTTCCAAATGACTTAATTGTTTTAATCGTCATCGGTTCTCTGGTTGAAATTCAATTGGTACCTTACATAAACTTCATTATTTGCGGACCATTTATTTATACGGATGAACAAAAAAAAATTTGCAATTCTTACTGGATAGTTTGAGAAATATTTTGTTGGAAAAATACCAATGAAAAATTTTTAAATCATGACTTTTTTTATTTATAAAAATTACAGAAAGATGTACTCTTTACATTTTGTTCTTAATTTAAACATTCAGTCTTACAGCGTTTAACTGAAGTTTAATTCATATTTCTAAGGTATACGTTTCATGAAGACCAAAATTGAAAGAAAATTAAAGTTACCTTTTTTCAACGTACTATGTCAATTCTATTACGGTAATTCGAGAGAACGGAAGGCTTGACAGCTTGACAAGGTAAATGCAAATTCCATGACCTTGAAAAACATGTTACTATAACCATACGCACTATATAAATGTATATAAACATTTTATTTAGTAAGTTTATCTATTGGTTACGTAAACCACCAAAAAATGACTAAGAATGACAAGATAAAAAAAATATTATTTCTTATTGGAACCGTCCTTGGTGACGTATGCGCTTCATAAACTTACGCGTGTACACCGTGTACAGCAGACAACCAACTCACATGAAAAAAAGTACAGCGTCACCTCGTCTCTGGAATTCTTTCAGCTTATTTTCTGACGAAAGAGAAGATCATGGGGAAACTTGATTCCTTTGTTTCACAGAAGTTTTTATTTTTAATCCTAAAAAAATTTGATGTACTGTTTCCATTAATCTCTGACTGCGATTTACATCATGTATAATTCAGATTTTGTCCGCAAGAAACTTGAAAGCCATTCTGATTACAGGAGTTTTCGGTTTTTCTACCATGGAAATTCTACAAAATATATTCACAGACTTACTTACACCAACGATTGAATTTTTAATGACGAGAATTTACTTAAAACGCACACATTGAGTTTTATTATACTTGAAAAAAGGTTTGAGACATTTTACAATATAGGATTAGGGTGAAATGATTTCATCAAGGAAGGACTTGATGTAAATTTAAAAATTATCTCTAACGGATCGTTAATTGTTACACACCTTCGCGGTAGTAGGCGCGCGTGATTAGAGTACGACAACGAGATGAGGAAAAAAAGAAGACGAAAATTACTCGTTGTTTGATATTGCGTTGATTTTGTAAGCGAAGCAGGTTTCTCAAACACCAGCTCTTGGGAAAAGTGCGTTACGCATAGTTATGCAAATCACTGAGAGTAAAACCTCCTATTGACAACCATCAACTTCTTAAAAGTGAATCTTTTAAGGTAAAAAGGTATGAAACATCGTTGTTGAGGAAATTTTACATGAACGGGCTATTTTAAACGAGTTTTTTCTTTTTACACAATTCAACCCAGGATTATTAAGGATTATATCACATTTAATTTATGAATGCATTATTAAACTGTGAAAATTCCTCAGCTAATATTTTAACATTTATTGTTAAAAATGTTATGAAAAAAAAATTTTGATAAGCTTCTATTCTAAAAAAGTGATGTACGGATTACCAAGATTAATATAATTTTTGTGATGTTAGTAAGATTATTATTTTGTAGAGTCTACCATAATACTTCAAGAACATAGAAAATTTTTAGTTCTAATACTACTTACGACATTTACAATTGAATTAAAAGACTAACCATTCAAATTTGTTTGAAGTAAGACAACTAATTCTTAAATTTTAAAGAGATTTTTAGATATCAATTTATCTTGCATTAAAGTATTTTACTTTGATATTTTGTTTATTTTCATCATAGTCAAAAATATTTGTTTGAACTGTAGTACATGGTCGATGTTGTAATTCCTTGAAAACATTCACCATAGAGTTAGGTGAATGCACTTTTTTTCATCTAAATTTCACTATATGATAAAACATTTTAAAGAAAGTTCTTTAAACTACACATTTACGAAATACAGCACAAGAACCAAACTAACATTTGTTATTTTTTCTTAATTAAGTATACTCAAATTGTCAACTTAATATTATATGATCCTAATTTCCTGCTTCTTTTTAATCTAAGCTAGATGGAACGCCTGGAAAAAAGATTGTTTTCTTAATAACAAATACATATTATATCATGATAAGTAATTACCTTTCCAGCAACGCTTTATTGAGTAATACATCATTGCATTACATATAAACGATATGACTATCAAATATTAAAATTTAAAACTATAATAATTGGAAGGTAAATGTATTTACACAGAAATTGTTGCTTAAAAATAATTGGATCGAACATTTTATAAACGACAGGTTTCGCCATCATTTTTACGGTAACGCATCAAAAAACACTTTTATTTTTAGTCATAAGACATAAAATCATAATATTTAAGATACTAGAGGACCCAATGTGCTCCAACAAGTACTTTCGGTCGTTTAGTTGGTAAGTAGCGCAAGTCAACGAGCACCGACTTTTTAACTCCTCCAAGACTTTTTCACTGCTGACGTTACATAACGTTTTATACAGCGCTACTCAGTGCGTGAAGAAATGCTCAAATTCGGAGAAATCGTGGCTTGACACACGCCTTTTCACTAGGACCGTTAATACACGGACAAACCTATTTGAACTCTCGTGACTGCTACTGTGTACAAAGTAGCAGTAAATTTTTTACCGTACCTTTTTGGGTAATTTTAAATTTTTTTAGGTTTTTTGTTTAATCATAGAAAATCTCTTATCGATGCGAAGATACCGCTAAATACTGAAATTTAAATTAATTTTTGTAACTTTTATTTTACGATAAAAATTGATCGATGAACACATACATTTACTCTTTGTCAACTTCAATTTTTTCACTAAATTATAATGTTGTAAAATTAAAATTTTTAAAAAACGCAATATTACAGTAGGGACAAAAACTAATTAAATGTAGAATAACTTATCTCTATTATTCTTATTACCAAACTTTGAAACTAAATTTTATTGTACACTTTTCAATACATCCTATCAAGAATAGTTGTCTGTTGAGTAAAATTGACAAGTTTAACCACAAGACCCTACAAAACATAATTAAATATGATCTTGAAAACAATTAAAAGTTACAGGCAATTTCAATAACATTTAACATTACATATTTACACGCAGCGCGTCAACGTGACCTTGTTCGTACGATTAAGTTGTACATCGTAAATCTCTATTGATAAGTTTGGTACGTGCCTCGCGAATTAAGCTTCTGCTTTTGTACCTCATGAAACTTGCTACACTAAAGACACAAATTGCGTTCGTATACATTAACAACAACACGGGACGAACAAAGTGCTCATCGTCTTCCCTGACATTCTCATCGACTTGTTTCGAACGGTAAACACGAATAATGAGTCAGGTTGAGTGTTAAAAATATATCTTCTTGTTTCTCGCAAGACGCATACCGTTGTCATTTGGTCCGAGTCGAATGACGTAAGCTTAAGGTTCAATCCAAGTCGACAATCAGTCGATGAAACGGTGTTGATCAGTCCTTTCATTACCAAATTATGGAGATGAACGTGTTTAGCGCAAACCAACAAATCCTCAGGAAGCCGTAGGCCAGGATGACTTTAAGTCCCTGGTGTAGCCAGTACATTCTGAAATTTTTGACATAACACCGATGTATTCGTTCATGTGGATCAGTTAAATTGAAAATAGGGCATAAAAAGCTTACCTCTGCCATCTGACTCGTGCTTGGGGTAGAGTGTCGATGGGATCCTTAATGAGATAAAGTCTGATGCCTCTCATGTAATTCTGAAAGTACGTGTCCCAGACCACGTCTCTCATGTCCATGTTGAACAGCGTTCGGTCCCTGTTGTCCAGTTTATCGACGAGAGCGTGAACTGCACCGTTTGTAAATGACCACTCTTTCGTCGTGAAGTAGTTCAAAACATCCATGAACTTGTGAATTTTTTTGTACACTTTGAGCATCCTAATGACAAAAAGGAATGAGTGTTTTAACCGACAAAAGTACCTATACATACCGAAGCTTTACAAAAACCACACATTATTCCACAAAAACCAAGATCGTTTTTACCTAGGCTCTTTTCCCAGGCAAATGGTAACAGTATCGACAAGTAGAGCAGGTAGCAAGTGCAGGAAGTATACATAGAAGAGGTGAAGGAGTCTACTTTTGGTGTTTCTAAAGCTGTAATACCAAACAGCACGAGACGGTGGTATATCGAGCCCGTACTTGGCTCCCAGTTCCTTGAGACCATCCCATGTGATTGGATTATCTTTTGCCACGTAGTTGTAGATCGGTATTTCGTTGCTATTTTTGTTATTACTGAAAAAAAAAAAAAAAAAAAACAAATAAATAATGAACCACCAACTTGTCGGAGTACTGCCCAAATTCAAAGCCACGTTGCGATTCTACCAACGTATTGCATCAAAATGTATCGAACTACGTACTTTTTAATGTTGGCGACATCCCAGGCACTGGCAATCAGAGTATTCACGGTCATGTCACCTGGAACAACGTTTGCCTTCATCGAGCCATCGCAGTGTATCGTGCGCAGCAAACCCGTGCCCGCACCAGCGGCCACACCAGTTGGCCCGTACATGTTGTCGATCCAACCTCTGATCGGTTCCTGATACGTCGATATTACTGAAAAATGTATAAAGCCAATCAATTATTTTTCACCTCATGTAAATTAAATGATACCATTCAGAGTCATGTCTAGCTTTAGTCATTTAAAAAATACTTTGCTACAAATACATGGATATCAAAGATACAAAGATTTTTTAATCGTAATTGTGTACGATTGAAAGGTCATAGGATTTTAAACTTTCGAAAACTTTATGATGGATTTAACTGTTAAATGTACTTGTTGAAGTGATATACCAACCGACAGCAGGTCTGAATATTCCAACGGGAATGTCAGCGCCTTCTTTACGAATGATGTTCTCTGCAACAGCTTTTGTGAATGTGTACGTGTTCGGCCACTTTCCCAAAAGTCTGAAAGTGTTTGGAAGAGTGATGATTATGAATTTTTAAATGAGATAATGTAAAAATGAACACAGAGTGAAAAAACATACGGTCGGGAGATGTCGTCGACGAGCTTATCGTCCATGCACTCAACGAGCGAGATAAGTTTAATTCCATCGATCGGTACATCGTAGAACTTCTCCTCGATTGGATTGTAAACGCAATTCGCGTACGCGGTGGATACGTGAATACAAGCCTGGAAACCAAATAATTGTAGACAATTCAAAACTAAGTGCACACCCTAACGCAAAGTAAAGGTACACCTTGAGCTTCGGCATTTCCTTGCAGAGGCTCATTATGTCTCTGGGACTCTGAACGTTTATGGAGACGGCGAGCTTGAGCTTCTCGTCGAACCTCACGGTGGCAGCCACGTGGAAAACTATCGAGACCTCGCGAACGAGAAGAGCTCGCTCGGCCGGTGACATCCCCAAACCTGGAAGGCTACAGTCTCCGGATACTGAGATGATTTGGTGGCGGAACTTTGGATGCTCCTCTTTTAGTTTCGCGAACAACTGTTGGAATTATAAGTCCAGGAGATACTGGCAGTCATGCCTCATGGTATCGATACTTACGGGATCGTCAAACAGTTCTTCGGTGCGCTGATGCACGTCCTTGCCTTTCTTCGGCCTGACAAGCAGGTAAATGAAGGCCAAGTTGGAACAACTGCGCAGAAGCTTTTCCACCAATAGCTTGCCCATGAAACCCGTGCCACCGGTTATAAAGATGCTCTGGCCGGCATAAAATTCCTGGATGGGGGTGAGCTCCCCAGCAGAGATCATCTGGGTACTGTTACTGATGTCAGTGGCTGGGAGCGTGTCGAGTTTTGGCGTGTACTCCGAGGGCATTGTCGCACGAGAAACTCCGGTTTCTGGCACCACGACCTCCTGACCTCCTGACTCCATCAGGACTTCGACCATATTGTGTTTGGTCGTTGTTCGGAGTTTCAGTGTTTTGCTTACCTAAAAGTGGATTTGCTTTTTTTAAATTGTCATGTGGAAGTAAGGATTTATGATAAAGGTAAAAGTAAGACCTTTTTTTGTTTGGTAATAAAACTAGATTGGTAATAATTGAAAAACAAGATTTTAACACTATTATTTTTATATTTCTAACACCATCAAAGTCATCGAGAAGTGTGAAATGTTGAAAAAAAATCTAAGAATCTTTTCACCTCACTTTTGGAAGGATAAATTATATATTTTTATTTATATGACATTGAGTTACGTAACGAGCTCATTAAAATTCTAATCTTTCTATTGATTGATGGTTCAAGAACAAACTTTTTTATCGTATAGAATTTATTTGTACGGTCAAAATTTTTGGAAAAAAAATAGGAGTGGTCTTATTTTATTACCACACCTCGTGGTAGATGTTACAGATAAAAGTTTTTCTTTACTACGGGATGTCTCACTCAGTCTTTATAAAATATTTGTTGATGCATGTGTATTTAATACAAGACGGCACGACAAATGAAAGTAGTCGAAAACTTCATTAATTTACTTTTGATAAAAGAAATGTACTTGAAGGGACACAAGGACAATTTTTCATATGTCAAATCCAAAAAACTTTGGAGCTTATACATTTTTAGTTTCAACATTTGTAAAGTGGAAGAAATATACCATTCTCTAATTCATTAATTTATAACCCCTAACAAATAAGTTGCATAAACTTTTGAACACGTTCAAAGTAACACAAAAAAAGCAATCATATATTGAACTGAGATGAGATTTCATAACCAACACAATGACCTCATTTTCTCTTTTGAATCATTAAGACGCAATAGACGTTCATTATTTATTTAAAGTCAAGACCTCGGTGAAGGTCCTTCGTCAAGATTACACGTACGGTCTGCATATACACAGTTGTATAAGTTATTCATCTCTCATTCAATGCTAAAAAAACATTTGGGAAACGATTACACGCCGAAAAAGTTGTTTGTACAAACAAAACCCACTGTTAAATAAACACCCATCCTTCAATGCACTGTCAAATTGATTCACGTAGTCCACGAGGGAAAGAAAAAGCGAGACATTCGAAGGCTGATCAAGTGCATACTCGGCACTCTGACGAACAAAAAAAAATACGATTGTCAAGGATAAGTGAAAACATCCGACACTCTAAAAGTGATAAAAGAAATTTCACGAGTGAAACGTCAGTTTATTTCTCTTTTGTTTTTAGTGGCAAAACACGCGGTTACGCGAATGAATGGTAAGAATTAATTATCTCCCTGTACTTGTGAATAGCGTGTTTGAGCGGAACAAGCGCATCCGTTGTTTTACGTGTCTTTCTTTCTCCGTGCATATTCACTTTCAGCTCTTCTCACTCATAATGTTACCTCTCAGCGTCTTGTCCTTAAAAAAAAAAAAGATAACTCGTGCGGTTCTTACGTGAAACTGATTGTTCAAATTGCTTTTATGGGCATTTGCAAAATGAGGATAATGGGTTACTGAATTTTTTTCTGGCATTATGTATAATGTCTAAATATTTTTTACAAGTTCACAGTTTCGAACACTGAATTTTATACAAATTTTAATTTTTACATACTAGTTTTAAAAAACAGAGAGAAAACAGTCGCAAAATAGTATTTCTGGTGATAAGTCGCTGCGATATCCTTAAGAACTTGGTGTTACTTCACGGCAAACATTCAACGTTGCATTGCGAGTTTTTGCGAACCAACAGACGTAAGCAGCTTCTCGGAAGCTATGAAAAAAAAGGTAAGAAAAAAATTGTTAACAATAAAATCTTGCCAGTGTGCCGTGCGCGATCTGTCACTGGTTATTCTTGACACCCCGAACGGCTCCAACTGAGAGTGCAATTATTTGCATTCACCGCAAAATNAAAATTTTAACTTACCATTAAATGGTACATAAGATAGCCTCATAACACGTACGATATGCTATTTATTTATTTATGTGAATAGATCGAGATAGCCTTCGTTTGGGTACGAGATATAATAAATGACCCCTTCCACAACGTATCGACATATCCCATTACACCGTACTATATATTTATTGTTATACGTAAGTGGGTTTTTCAAGTATTAGTACAAATCTATTAGTATTATTCAACACTGAATACAAAAAAAAAAAAAAAAATTCATTAAATAAGTATTCACTCTCAAAAAAAGCAAAATTATTTTTTTCTATTTAAGTAGATTCTTTATTTTCAGTTAGGAACTCCAATGTTAATGGTTTTTTGTAATTGAAATCTTATAAACGATTTTGTATTAAAAAAAAAAAAAAAAAACTAATTCTTTTAAAGCAGTCTTTGGTAAATAAATTACTTATTGAAATATACCTCTACAGTTAGTAGTAGCGTGAAGACAATAAAATAATTAAGCTTAAGAATCTAAATGTTTTTTATTAATGTATAATGTACACTGATAGTCAAAGTTTTGAAGCCCTAAAAATGTGTTTTTTTATGTCCATGAAAAACATTTGAATAAAATAGTTTTTACAAAATTTTAATTAAGTTACTGTTTAATTACGAATTTTGTTTTTAATTACAAGTATAGTTATTTATTAAAAGGAGATACATTATTATACTCATGAAAGTAAAATAATTAAATAAAAATGATGTGAAAATGTTCACACTTACGTTATAAGATTTGTATCATGCAAAATTTTTTGAAGTTTTTGTCGATGGTGATTGGGACGATTGCGAGCAGGTAAGTAATTTAAATTAATGATCAATTTGGTATAACTTTTCTTACAGTGACGTAGAATTTATGTAACTTGTCGATTCAACAATAATTCGAGTAACGAAAAGAAAAAAAATGACGCAACAAAGGTCGCATACTGGAAATATTATTGAATTATTTATTTATAAAATAAGAGTCGAATTTGAATCCAGTTGACGCGTGTGTATTGTAAAGTCCGAGTAACCTGCTGACACGTATCTACGTCATCCACCAAAGAATAACAATCGTTGCGGCCATCGTTGCTACTGAGACAAGTTCGATTTACCAAAGCCTTTTGAAATATCAAAATTCCACATGTGATGGATTTTTTTATTCATTACAGTTTTTTGCGGTTTTTCATTTTTTAATTAACTAAAATTAATTGGGAAATTCCTTTTAGATTATTTTGCATTCTTGAAATTGGTGTATGGAGCAATGTCAAAGAAAATATTTTGGTATACGTACGACCAATATTCTGAGCTCAATGGAATCGTTCGACTTATTTTATTGTATTCTTCAACTATTGTTTTGCAAAGGATAAAAACACCTTTGATAAAAAAAAATCATCAAAAACTTTTTTTTAATTTAAATAAAAACAAAACTTTTATCAATTTTGATGACACCACACCTGTCTAATGCCTAAAAGTAAATATTATTTATTCTAAAAATTAATACTCAACGCATACTATTAAAAACATGCATATTTGTGGAACAAATTTACAACTGCAATTATTTGTACAAGTAGGAATTGTTGTTCGTCTCTAGTCTAGTTTGACAAGTTATACAAGTCATGTTATCGATGCTTCGCGGCAGATATTGAGCTAATTATTAGACACGAACGAAGCCAGTAATTGGGCTAATATCACTTATGCCCATGATAATTTGTAAAAGACGAGCGATATCGTAAATGTACCAAAGACTATGTATAGTATATTACCATCGTATAACATTAAAGGAAAAATAACATCGCAACCAAAAATATTATTTTGTACAGCGTGTGATGTAAAAATGGGATTTTAGTCTCATTTCAAGTAATTCTTTCCACACAACTGCAACCANTCCTTTTCTAAAAAATTTGTACTTCTTACTTAAGAACCATACCATTTAAAAAAAAATTATGACAATACTCGTGCATGATATTATGGATAAAAATAATTATTAGACTCATCATAAACAATGAAAGGTCTCAATCTTATAAATCAACACTGTAAACTATTTATTCTTGTAAAATAATGTTTTGCGTTAATCATATAGTTTTTATTGTTACTGCATAAATAACGTGCAAATTTACCTGCAGTATTGATAAAATAGTCGCCAGACCAATTGCTTGTACCAATATAAGCTGCAATGTCCGTAACCATATATTTGTTATGATTTACTCGGGCAAAAGGAATTTTGTCCAACTCAGGATTAGTAGGCACAATGAATCTCCTCTGTAAGGTAAAAAGTGAGTAAATCAAATTATTTTATTACTACTTTTGTTTCGACACTAAAAGCTGTATAACCTTGGCCGAACTAAATCATCATGCTAACCCGATACAAAATATGAACAATAATGTCAAATATCTTGACCAATCATGTTTTTACATCAAAAGTGTGAGCCAAAACATACACAAATATCAAAAAAAGAAAAAGTATTTATTTTTAATGAGTGAATTAATCACATACGAGGATAAAAAATTTTTTTTTAGAGTTTCAAAATAGCGCAGACATAAAGTGTCAAGTGAAAAACACCGAAAAAATACTCTTGCTCGCTTTTTCCGCAAGCCTGTTTCAGTCGAACCGGTTATTTTGACTAATAAAAAAAGAGAAAATAAAAACCAATCGCTTCACAGAATCACTAAAAATACAACAATGAGTACCAACCACTTGCCAGTGTGCCGTGCGCGATCTGTCACTGGTTATTCTTGACACCCCGAACGGCTCCAACTGAGAGTGCAATTATTTGCATTCACCGCAAAATAAGTGCCTCCGCTGTTGGCGAATTAGATAATGTTTGCTGGCTAAGTCATCGAAATGATGGAATAACAAGAAATTCCACGGAGTACTTTGACGTGCGCTGAAATATTGTTTTAGTTTGAAAATTTCGCTTAAGTGGTTGTGTAAAACTACTTTCAACACTACTGTCGTAAGATTTAAGAAAATATTGTAAACGCCCTGTCTCATTTAGATAATCGAAAATCTAATAATGCTTACAGATAATATATGACAAAATATTTTTTATTTATTTTTACCAAAAAATAACGTAAACCTAAGATTATTATCTAGATTCGTTGATTAGATTCCAAGGATAATTTAGGATCTCATAAAAAAAAAAACAATCCAACTCAAGTAATGTACAGACAC